CTGCATCTGAATGGGTTTGTTTGGACTAACTAAATCCTGAACAAACTCCTTGTATTCTGTAAATATAAACACTAATTATTTATTTTGCCCAACAAGGCTTTCATTATACCACTGACATCTGATACATTCATTTTCTGCTTTTGAGCTGAGGGGATATTGTTTTTGTTTGGTTGTTTGTTTTACATCTCCAGTGTTGTAACTTTAGTTGAATGCAGTGTTGATCATTGTATGTTTCTGGGCTGATATAAATATGATGAACCATTTAGAAGAATGCAAAACAAACAAACAAAGAAATAATCATTGTGTACTTTCGGACTGATATAAATATGTGAATCCATCTATAAGAATGTAAAATGAATGAATGAATAATCATTGTACTGATATGAGGATCCACTTATAAGACTGCAAAATAAATAAATAAACAAACAAACAATATATGTGTGCTATTGGACTGATATAAATATGTGGATCCATTTAGAAGAATACAAAACAAATAATAATTGTGTTATTATTGGATATATATGTGGATCCACTTATAAGAATGCAAAATAAACAAACAAACAATATGTGACCCTGGACCACAAAACCAGTCTTAAGTCGCTGGGGTATATTTTTAGCAATAGCCAAAAAAACATTGTATGGGTCAAAATTATCGATTTTTCTTTTATGCCAAAAATCATTAGGATATTAAGTAAAGATCATGTTCAATCAAGATATTTTGTAAATTCAAATATATATATCCAAACTTAATTTTTGATTAGTAATATACATTGCTAAGAACTTCATTTGGACAACTTTAAAGGCGATTTTCTCAGTATTTAGATTTTTTTGCACCCTCAGATTCCAGATTTTCAAATAGTTGTATCTCGACCAAATATTGTCCTATCATAACAAACCATTCATCAATGGAAAGCTTATTTATTCAGATGGTGTATAAATCTCAATTTCAAAAAATTTACCCTTATGGCTGCACTGTAAAAAAAAATCTGTTAAATATACGGTAAAAAACCGGCAGCTGTGGTTGCCGGAATTTTACCGTAAAAAATACGGTAGCAACGTTTTAGGTTTTAACTTAAATTTACAGTTAAATACCGTAATTTCATTAACTGATATAATGTATACCAACCTATTGAAGTACTGAAATCTGTTTTGTACCTTTGTAATACACTGATAACCACCAAATGCAGGTGGTGATGAGAAAGTCACATGATGAACCAAAGCCCATCACAAGCAGCTTTTAAATTATAACATATATAGAAGGTGCACAGTGTCATTCACACAGACACTAAACACCATCATGGTAACACACATGAAACTGAAATAATGCAATAAACATTCATTTAACAACATTAGGTGTAACATACAACCCTAATATACAAAACTGATAAGAAAAAACTAAGAAGAAACATAGTTATTTCAACAAAAAAACATCAAATTTGAAGTGTAACGCAGGGAATTCTGGGAATGTCAATTTACGGTTATTCACTATAAGTTATTCGGTCTTTTCCACTTTCAAAAACGGTATACTACCATAAAATTAATGTCCAATACATGTAATGTCCAATACAGTTTTTCACTGTATATAGTAGGGGAATTTACCGTTAACCATTTAACAGGTTTTTACTGTAGCATTTTTACAGTCTTTTACCGTTAAATTCACGGTCATTTTTTACAGTGTGGTTTTGTGGTCCAGGGTCACATATCTGTGCTGTTGGACTGATATAAATATGTGGATCTATTTGGAAGAATATAAAACAAACAAATAATCATTATGTGCTATTGGATATAAATATGTGGATCCACTTATAATAATGCAAAATAAATACACGAATACACAAACAAACCAAACTGGACTGATATAAATATGTATGTATGTATTAGAAGAAAAAAAAAATATATATATATTACATGTCCATGTTAAATTAACCGTTAATTAAAAATATTTATTGTACACCTATAAAAGTGCAGTTTACTTTCTAATCTGTGAATCTCCTGAACTGATGTAACACCAACAAATGTTCTCCTTGTAACCATTCCAATCTTCTCAATGCAATTAAATAGTTCTGGGACATGTTCCCCATCAAAGGTGAATCTAGCTCAGTCCAAGGTCAACTTAAGTCAAAGAGCTGATTAAACACATGATCTCCCGCTTGTGTTTGTTGACAATGAACCTCATTCTGGATGAGGTTTCCTAAAGTCTTCTGTCTCATGTGAATCAATGCTCTGATGTCAAATCGCAATCAGGTTTCAGCTGTCGTGTTCTCAAATTGCGGTTCCTGGGATGGGCCATCTTAAGTACACATTTCTTATCATTCAGGTAAATTGAGTGTAATCTGCCATAATGACTGAATATATGACTTTGCGGTTGATTATTATATTAATAGTATTATTTATTATTAAATAATGAAATTAGTATTTTATAAAAAATAATGAAAAGAGAAAAATATCTTTATTTACATAGATATCCTTAAATCAAATGTTTAATTTCAGAAGAAAAAAAAAATCAAACCCAATTAGACCTGACATTAAAAAATGAGCCTTGTTCACCTTTTCCTGGCAATCTGAATTCAGCCCTGCTAGACGTTTGGGGACAGACTAACCTGCCATGCATTAGAGATAAAATCCTTTAAAGTGTGGGGTCAGTGACCCATCACTGACTGTGCACTTATGCCACTTACTGCACAGCTCTCCCACGGGATGATGTCTGGATGGCTGGGAGAAATATATAGACCATAAAGGAACAAAAACTGTCATAAAGCTTTGATTAAGGCCCAGGTTAAAAGACACAGGCAAGCGAAACGGCTGAGTTACGATGGCAGTCGAGGCTAGCATTATTGTTCCCGTGACAGAGCTCTTAGCACGGGTGGCTCATTGTAAACAGCTCTTTTCCGAGGAGCAGACAGTCATTAATCGCTGATGCAATCCCAGACTCCTCCAGTGTACCCTCGACATCAGAAATCACACTGCCGCCACCAGCACATTCGCTAAAGCGTGAAAGGTTGCGACTCTGTCTACTCTCAGCAGCTTGTGACTCTTCTTATTTTTACCCTATAATGGCTGACGTGTCAGTTTAACAGCTATGAACCCCATGACCATTGTCTTTGCTACTGTCTCTTGCAGGTAAAAATATACTCATAAAATGTCAGTATATTAAATTAATAGTTCTAAAGCAGTTTTAATAGCTCCATTATTGTGTTTTTAGGATGTTGTATACAAAGGTTTTGGGCTCATTAGTCAGTAATAATGTTTCTGATAGTCATGCTGTCCGGGGCATTGGATCAACCTTTTTTTGTTGTTTTTTCACATTTTCTCAATACACTGAGAAAAAATTGTAGTCTAAAAATAGCAACATCTAAGTAAACTGATTTTAAAAGTCAAAAATAATATTACTGCCGAATCAACCTAAATACATTAACTTATAACAAAACTACATTTTATGTCTTAAATTAGGCAGAAATAGCTCTTTAAGGTAACAATTGCAGGCCAACACTTTTTCAGTGCTTTATCCTTAAAGGAATGTAATTTTAAAACTATATGGTTAATTTGGTAACACATTAAAATAAGGTCTTATTAGTTAATGCTGGTTAATGCATTAACTAATATTAACTAACAATTAGCAAAACATTTGTTAGAATATTTATTAATCTCTGTTAATGTTAAAAAATGAAAATAATAATGTTAGCTCAGATTCATTATATAATATTAACAGATACAGCGTGTGTTTTTTTAATGTATTAGAAAATGATAAACTTAACATTAACTTAATAAATGCTTTAGAAGTATTTCTGGTTGTTAGTTAATGGGACTGTCCACTAAAAAAAAAAAAAAAAGACGCTATTTTGATTTTTTGTGACCAAAGATTCAAAACCATTGACTTCCGTTGTATTTTTTTTCTTCTGTATTATGGAAATCAGTGGCTATATGTCAACTGATACATTCTTCGAAATATCTTCTTTTGTGCTCAGCAGAAGCAAGAAACTCATACAGGTAAGGAACAACATGACGGTGAGTAAATGATGTATTTGGGTGAATTATTCCTTTAACTAATCAAGTTAAACTAATGGAACCTTATTTTAAAGTGTTACCAGTAATTCTCTATGTATCATATTTTATTGTGTTTTCCAACATTTGACTGTACACATTGTGAAATACATTTGTATTACCAGCACCTGTTTGCAGTTGGAATTAATAGAAAGTACTGAATGTCACAGACATAAACAAAGGTATTAGTTTGTTTGTCCTTCGATGCCACCTGCATCGCATTACGTCTGCCTGGCAATTATGTGCAGACAAAGGGGTCAGAGCTTTGATTCTGTAACACCAGCTTCTAAATTCAACACTTGCAGGCAGACATAATCCAACCAATAATTTATTTACCCCTGACACTTTCATTATTTAGTAAGCACAGAGGCACTGGCAAGATGTGCACAATTAACAGACCTGGATAACTGAGCTGGGAAGTTTGGTGTCTTTAGTCTGGGAGCATTAGGTCTCCTGTGAGAAAAAAATAAAAATGTCAATCAAAATCATTTAAGCATAATATACAGCATAACCGGTTTGTTGTTCATCAAATATGCAAATGAAAAATGTTCTAAATATTTGAGTGTAGCTATATATCATTTATTATATCATTTATTAATAATAATAATTCAAGTGTTAGCTTCATAATAAAATCATAATAATTTACCTGAACTGTTTATTTAGTTGCCTAATTGTCACTATAATAATTGAAACAGTTGAGAATGTATATCTTATGATCATATATCATTTTTATGAACAGCAGTTTATGACTAACTCGCTGCTGCGAACAAAAATAACAACTTGGAAGTCAGACAGATGTTGGTTGGTGTTGCTGTCCAGACGCCACACCCACTGGCCCTGACCCCGCCCCGCATGCCCAGCTCGCCCCGCCCCTACGAGGGACCGCAATGATTTAGAAGTTCAGGAATCCCACGTGACGTCACCAAAGGGTGATGTAATGCTTCTCTAAATAGATCGTATTGTAATCGTTCCTCAGTCCAGCGTGGTTCCTTCAGAAAGTGTGGTGCATCTTCTCCAGACTTCTGCGGTGAGTTGTTTGAGTTGTTTTTCATACCGATACATCCATTCCTTAGCATTCACATGCACTTGCCGAGTCGGTGCCAATGCAATAATCATTCTCTTGAGCCTGAAGATGTGACAAGTTGTTAGGGATTCACATGAACGAATTTCAAGTACTTTTACAGAGTCTGTCTGAACGCGTCTATTTAAGTCGTTCACGTTTCATGCAGAAAACACACTGATCGTGACTTATTCTTTTGGGATCTCCAGGGATTGTTTGCATGTAACAGCTTTGCGCTTTGAATACCCAACCAAATTGCGCGTTAAGGGATCGTGTCGCATTAAACAGCTAGCTCCTTCTTGATTCTGATCTCAAACTTATTTTGCTGTACGTTGCAAAACTTTACGCGGAGTTATTAGTTTGCGCGCATGACGCTGTCAAACACGATCGCTATGTTACTACAGATTTTACTTTGCTTGTGCGTGCATGTTTGTATATGCATGTTTGTGGCAAGCCAACTTAACAGTTATTCCTTTAACTAACTAAATTTGTATTACTAGTATTTATTTCTAAATGCTAGTAAATAATGTAATCGAGACAATCGAGACCTAGTAGTATTTCATAATTTTATTAGAAACTACTACACTACTTATAGCCTACTTTAGTCATTAGTAACTATTCAAACAGTAGGCTATCTGTTCTAGCTTCTCTAGCATTAGTAATGGCATAGATACAGTCATTATAGACTAGTGTTTTTATCTTATAAGTAAGTAGCTATTAAGACAAGGCATCAGCAAATATGAGCAAAAATACAGTTAAGAAATGTTACTTGTAATAATTAAAATCAGTGCTAGTGAATGTTGATATAGTAACTAGTAAATGCTGTAAATTTGGTTATGCTATCATGTGTCGAAATATTTAAACCTAACATTTACAACTAACCCTGCGTTACTTTGTGCCCCGCGCTCCCCTATGTGCTGAGGATTAATAAATAAGTACAGTAGTCAATCTGGAATAGATAGCAGGAGTAGCTATTCTTAGATAGTTATTAGTAACTTACAAATATGAACAATAAATAGTAAGTGAAAACAGTAACAGTTGGAATGGGCTTCACCAGCATAATATGGACTACATAACAGTGTGAAATGAATACTTGATATCTAAACCAGATCCAAATCGAACCTAGTAGCAAAAATGCAATTTGATTGCAGTAACAATGGAATAGTTAATCGAATAAGCAATGAATATGTACTAGTCACTAATCAAAAAAAGATACTTTTCACTATTTGATTACTTCATAGTTTAAATAAGAATGTAGTTTAAAGGAATACATGTTAAATTGGCTTGCCACAGCGTGTGTGTGTGTGTGTTGTGTCCCGTTCGCGCTGACACACAAGGGTTCTGCATTGTTCCTCTGAAGCGGTCCGGGAGAATTAGTTTGTAACGTTGAACCTGGTTTGTTTCATTAATCAACGTGCAGAAACTGAGGAACTTAGCTTGTATTGCACCTCTATGTATTCTCCCGTCTCGTTCAAGAGATCGCGACTGTCAGAGGGGTCCCAGTCCAGTCCGCTCTTATATGATAAAAGAATGCTTTGACTTAAAGTATGCACGCGTGTTGGAATCTTCGCAAATGTAGTTTAAAGGAATACATGTTAAATTGGCTTGCCACAGCGTGTGTGTGTGTGTGTTGTGTCCCGTTCGCGCTGACACACAAGGGTTCTGCATTGTTCCTCTGAAGCGGTCCGGGAGAATTAGTTTGTAACGTTGAACCTGGTTTGTTTCATTAATCAACGTGCAGAAACTGAGGAACTTAGCTTGTATTGCACCTCTATGTATTCTCCCGTCTCGTTCAAGAGATCGCGACTGTCAGAGGGGTCCCAGTCCAGTCCGCTCTTAGGCTATATGATAAAAGAATGCTTTGACTTAAAGTATGCACGCGTGTTGGAATCTTCGCACTGAATCACACGTTTTATTTTGTAATATCATAACAAGAAAGCAATGTATCGAAGCATGGCGTCACAATGCAGGCCAGTTTGATTAACCGTCGAGATATTGAGGGTTTAGTGGTTTGTGCTGACGAGGCAAACTCTTTTCTAAAAGCCTAAAGGCTTACAAGATTTTAATCCACTGACACAAAGTGTGTCTGGGTTATTTTTTTACAACACAAATAAATATTTATAGGAAATTTATAGGCTAAAAATATATAGCCTTTATTAAGCGTTCCGTTTTCAGATAAACTAGCTTCATGCAGGGAGGAAAATTAAAATACGAAGTTAATTCTATCTCATTGCTTCTAACATGGAGATTAAATGAGTAGTTCACCTAAAAAAAAATCTGCATCATTTACTAACTTTCAAACCTGTATTAGTTTCTGTGGAGATGTTAGGCAGAATGACAGAATGAAAATAAATGGTAACTGAATCTGTCAGTCCCTAGAATTCTATCTACACATCTCCTTTTGTGGTCCACGAAAGAAAGTAAGTCATATGAGTTCGGCAAAACATGAGACTGAGAAAATTATTCAGTTTATATTTATTTGAACCATTTATTATAATTATCTGTGAAATAGCATATTGTCACCTGTGAAACAAGACGTATCTAATAAAACTGAGTGGCTGGTATTGGAAAAAATGTCTATATGGCATTTATAAAGATTTTTGTGCTCTCTGGTTTAATTAATCCAGCTGACTAAGTGAATTACACTGAATGGGAAAATTTAATAAATATATTTTCTATAACTACATAAAATTTGCTTTATAATATATAGTGTAGGTATATGCAGGTTTTCCTCTATGTGTTTGACAAAATAAAAAAAAAGTTTGATATGTAGTGTTTGCAAAAATGTGTTTAATAAAACATTTTGCATGCAAATGACCATTATTGGTGTATGCTAACAAAGCAGTGAAAACCTTTTTCATTTTAAATTTGATCACAAATGGCATTAGCTGTTACTATTTTCATTTTGCCGTCACTTTTGTTCACTGAACAACTACAACATTCATATTTCAAATGTTTGTACCTCCGATATAAAAGTCAGCCTGAAGTTCTAGTCTCTGTAAGTTTATGTTTGTGAAGATGTGATGACTGACAGTGATTGAAGGTTACCTTTGTGGGGCCCCTTCGTCTGTTCATTATGAGAGGTTTATGGCATCCTTTGCATTGTCTGTATGTTTCTTATTCCTTGCCCCGGGCCCTGTGCTGATCCTACCTTGAACCTTTGCTGCCGGAGGCCTGCAGAGGACGGGGGGAGGTTGGATTTGAATTGCAGCGCAAGTTTGTGCTTGCTGTAACCTTCACCACCCTCCTCCTCCCCTCGGCCTGTGCACCATACTGTTTGAATTCAAATATGTACCAGAGGAGAAAGTTCCTCACCGGTTCCCTGTGAAACTGTACTCCGGTCCCCTAATTCTCCTCGGCTGCCACATTCAAAATTTGAAATGTAATGAAATTTCCTGTGTTAAATGAAAACACTGGTGAAATAAAAGCCAAGCAGTGTATGACCACTGGTGAGCAAACATCTCACACCTGGCCTCGTGTCACATGGGGATATTGAGCAGTTTAGGTGGCTAAAAGACTTGCTTGAGGGTGGAAATGATACGGTAATATTTTTCATGAAAATGAATGAAGTGCATAATCGTATGTTTAAATTAACAGATTTGATGACAGTCTTTGTAGTACAGATTTCACATGTTGGAGAACTTACATAGTGTGAAATACTGCTGCAGGGGCCTGATTGTGTTGCACTGTTGGTTTTGCTTTTGGAATCTGGCCAGATGTGATATCAAAAGACGGCATATCTTAGGTCTGTTTGACAATGCAGGGACACAAAAATTACAATACATTTTCAAATCTGGACTGGTACAAAGAGAAGTTTGTGAAGTTTAAGGCTAGATAGGGACACAGCAACATGTTCCTCTTTAGGGTGAAGTGTTAAAGTCAACATGAAATCAAAACTAACTGTATTTACTTTTTTAAAACACATTTTTGCTTATCGTTTTGAATGATTCATCGGTGCACCTGATTCCAAAGAAAAAAGGTTTGGTCTTGGTAATCTTTCATCAAAATGTAATGACTTACTCCACCTCTGAAACATCAGTTTGAAGAGTTTTAAATAGAAACACCACATCTGATCAATTCCTGATGGATAAAATTAAGTCCTGTCCTACATTTCCATCTTGTTGAATACTATTTCACTCAGAAATATGTCAAGTTACGGAAGTAAAATGTTCACTTTAATTTGCTTAGTTCACCCAAAAATGAACTTTCTGTCATTCTCATTGACTCACACTCATTTTATTCCAAACCCTTATTGACTTTCGTGGAACATAGACAAAATATATTTTGGGAAAATCTTGGTTACCAAGATTCTTCAAAATATCTTCTTTTGTGTTCTGTAAGATTATGTAGTAATACAGGTTTGCAACAACGTGGGATGAATAAATGATGACAGCATTTTCATTGTAGGTGAACTGTCTCTTTAATTTACCAAAAAATGAGTGCTGGAAAAACTGGACAATCTCATCCAGTGGCAGAGGAGTTAAATACTGAACAGCCAAAACCACCATTTTCAAATAGCAATTAACAATTAGAAAAATAATACAGATACCGTAAGGACTTGTGGACAGAGACACAACTTTCTGAGAGCTGATAAGCGAGTGACGGAGAGAGAGAGAGACAGAAAACAGAAAAAAACGAGTGTTAGTGACTTGTCATTTTGCAGACGTGTTCTTGATGTCAGTTCGCTTACAGAAACACCCTATCCAGACCATGTGTCCCCAAGGGCCGCGTGTCAGAAGCCGCCTGGAGGGGCTCTGTCCCAAGGCCGGACTGTAAGGAAAAAGATGTCTGGTTAACATAACAGCAAATTTGCATGTTTTGACTGCATGGGAGGAAACAGTTGGCTAGACCAATCGGACAGGAAAACAAATGCACATGCAAATCGTGTATGAAAGCGTTCACACAGCAGAGCTCATGCATATCCAGGTCTGAAGCATTTGAATTCAAACTTTCAAAGATGTTTATTTTCCACGCAGTTGGAAAGTGTTTGTTCGCTGTCTAAGCAGTGTGTCAATACGTAGCCACAGTCATTAGTCTGTGTTTTGCTGCTGTATATGAAGGGGACTTGACTCTGGCTGTCATGGACTATTACAGCTGTGTCTCATTAGGCTGTTGTAGCCCATAATACTGTTATTCTTTCGCACAAAACTTGCATAAGGGTGCTGTAAAATTCCCAAAACAGGTGTTAGAAACATTGGTAAAGTTTATGATCACCTGTGATGCACAACATACAGCTAAATTCTACAAAAGTGTTTTTGCTGTTGCGATAAAATAATCATAAGCGTTTGCTGGCATCTTATAATCTGGCCCACACAGAGCACCGCAGAAAGTTTTTTACTTGAATCTTTTGGTAAATTTGACAATGTTTTAGCTGCCAAAAATGGTTTAATGTAGTTCCAGTTTCAGTGTTAGGGAAAGTTATTTTTAAAAGTAATATTGCGTTACTCTGTAAAAATTTAACTAATTGAATTAGTTACATTTTTATGGAAAGTAATGTGTAACCTTACATTGGCGTTACATCTGGGCCGGACTTGCTTGTTTGTTTTTAATATGAAAGTTCTATTTTTGGCAAATGTAAATTCATGCTTTTAATGCATGTTTAGATTTAGTCTAGACCTACTGTAACCAAGTTTACACAGCAACACACAACGCCCGATTTCTCTAAACTTGGGGACAAGAGAGCTGTCAGTCAATAAATGAGAAAACCAAGTAACTGGAATTGCTTATTTGAAAAAGTAACTCAGATATTTTCTTGTAAATTAAAAAGTAATGTGTTACTTTACTAGTTACTTGAAAAAAATATTCTGATTACGTTACTCCCAACACTGTCCAGGTTACACATTTTACCCTATTCAAATCAAACACAGAATTCCACTGACCAAGAAAAAAAACGCCATTGAGTCAACCCTGGCCTGCTTTTTACATGCTCATAGATTTATTTTAAGAATGCAGGGGTGAGAAGAGGGACGTACAGTCAGAATCACACACCCAGGCACCCTATAGATCATCACTAGTTGAATAGAATGAGCCGCCCTTGAGACTGAAGCACAAATGGTGCCTGATATATTCCACAGCATCGCACTCTGATCCCCATGGTGACAGTAGTAGAGGGCTCAGCGTGGGCCCACATAAGAAAACCGATGGCAAACTACATCCCATCATCATCAGAGGAGGAGCGGCCCGATTACACTCCATGTGCGTGAAACTGAATGGCTGGCATACCATTCCATTGTCAGTCTGTCATCCATTGCATTTAGCAGCATCATGGCACTGAGGAAGGGATTCCAGGGCTCATGGTGAGCTGGTATGGAGAGAGAGATTTGTCATTGAAATGTAATCACCTCTTGTAAAACGGACACTAGAAATAGTTCAGCGTTTTGTCATTGTATTGAAACATCTTTACCCTTTTTTTGCCTCTACATAATTTGTCACTCTGTCAGTGTTGCCAATGTATTAGTGCATAGGGGCAACTATATTTCACCATTAACAATTTATTTTAAAACTGACCTGGGTCAGTTATTAAAGTAATATATTAAGTTATTATAGTAGCATAGTTAATATAGTATAAAGACAGGGTTGTACAAAATGAAAAAACAAAAAAATCTCAATGAAAGGATGAAGACAAGCTTAATTATATCATAAAGATACATTATATCATAATATAGTAAATACGATCAAATATTTACTATAAATATTATTAATTATTATAAAATAAAAAAATATTAAATAAATAAAAGACATTATTTTGAATATAAATCAAAGTATATAGTACGTAGGAAATTATACATTGATAAATAATGTTTTTTTTTACACACACACACACACATATATATATATATATATTAGTGCTGTCAACTGATTAATCGCGATTAATCGCATACAAAATAAAAGTTTTTGTTTGCATAATATATGTGTGCGCTCTGTGTATATTTATTATGTATACATAAATACACACACATACAGCATATATTTATGTGTATTTACATGTTTATATTTATATTCATATAATTTATATTATAAATATATTTAATATATAAACATATCCTATTTTTCTGAAATACATACATGCATGTGTGTGTATTTATATAAACATAATAAATATACACAGTACACACACATATATTATGTAAACAAAAACTTTTATTTTGGATACAATTAATCGCGATTAATCGTTTGAGAGTACTAATATACATACACACACACACGCGCACACACACACGCATATATATATATATATATATATATATATATTATAAAGTACATTGTAGGGGTTTTACTTGGTGCTCACACTACATTAAATTATTAAAGTTTATAATTTTTACTTTTATTAGATTGTATAAAGATTTCAAAACATATGAAGCTAACCTGAATACAAAGAATACATTTCTAAATGTTTAAAATATGGTTCTTATTTGTCATTGACCCTCCTAATACGAGCTGCTGAAGTCATGGCTGGCAAGGTATTAAAAGGACAGTTTAGGTGTCAAAAGAGTTGCTAATGGCCAGCAGTTCATTGATACGCTGACCTCAGTGCCGTGTGTCTGGGTTAGCCACAGACTTGCGTGCACAACACAGAGAGGATAGTTTACATCTTACCCTGTGGTCAGCAACGGCTCCATGGCGACGAAGGAGCAGGGTGACATTCTAGGGTTCAGTTTTAGCCTCTTAAGCCTCCCTCCTAGAGTTTAGACTAAACCTTTACAACTCATAATGCCCTCTCCCAGGGCATAAGACACAGAATCCTCACTGAGATTCTGTCAAAGCCTCTTCGGGAACCACAGAGTTGGTTATCCCTGGCACACGATACATTAGTGACATAATGTGAGCGGGTCTTTATGCTTCGGAGTCCTGGAGGCGCCACTGATTTGAATTTCTCTCCTTTGCTTTGTGTTCAGGTATATGAGGAGCCAGTGACAGTGATGAACTCCGAGCAGGAAAGGCCGTTCGTGTGCAGCGCCCTGGGCTGCTCTCAGGTGAGTCTGATAAGACAATAGCGAAGACGAATGGTCCAGTAACTCGAGAAAGCTTTTTCTCAATGTGAAACTGCGCCACAGACAACAACAGTGAAATGCTATCTCGTTGAGGCAAATGTCATCCACTGGGTCTTGATATAAGATTCTTGGATTGGTATGTCTTTGGATGAGGTAGAATCCTCAGATATGTTAAATAATCTCTCTCTTAATGCATATTTTCTTCTAGCTCAAGTTCAGTCATTACTGTGGTTCTCAACAGAGTTATTATATTTACCTAAAACTAAAACTAAAACCATAAAAAAGCCTGTCACTTGAAATAAAATAAACTTCAACTTAAATAAAATATTAAAAAAAAACGTAAACTTATTTTATTCCAGCTAGAGGCCAAGGAAGATATTTTCATTTTCACTTAGTTTAACTTAGTAAAATAACTAAAAATTAAGAGTCAAATAAAAATGAACAAAAGCTATACAGACATACAGAAAAAAAAGACAATACAGCAAAATTACAAAAAAATAGCTACAAATAAAGTGAAAACAGAAAATATAAAAATAAAACAAATTCAAAATATTAATAACACCTATAATAACATCTCAATGATACTAAACCACCACTAGTTTTCAACTGATTTTGATTCAGGATCCATGATGGCGACCCAATAACAACATTGCTTATGATACAAAGATTTAAAAAAAAAATGAATCAAAAGCCTACTTTGAAATGCATTAATATTACCACGGAGTGCAAAGGTCCAACAATATGTACAAATACTGATATGACAGCTACACAAACTGAAAAAAAGTACTACAAAATACATATTCTGATTTGATGTCATCGACCAAAGTGCTCTCCTGCCTTTTTAAAAATAGATTTATTTTTTATCTCCTCCGTTATATAAATTTTATATATATATGTATATGGATATATGTATATATATATATATACACATTAAAAAAAATATTTTATTTGAATATTTTTTTCCTTCTTTCCGTAATCAGAACACACCTGTGACCCATTTTCGGATCACAATCCACCTGTTTTGAACCTCTGCACAATTAGACTAGGCCTGTCACAATCTGTTTGAGCAGGCTGGTTCATGTGGACCATTTACAGATACAATATTCCTCTCAGGTGCTCTAAAACATCAATTAAGATAATGTAATTATGATAATGAGAAGGTATTTTCAATCAGAAAGGTATTATTGTAATCTGTTCAGACAGACAGTTTATGCCTAAGGCTCAGTCCTGTTGTATATGGTGGTAAGTATATCATTGCTTGATAAAGTCCCTAATTGTAAGAATCTGTTTTTCAAGAAAACAAAATGGAAAGAAAACAAGCCTCTGCTCTTTAATGTGTTTAGTGTGATTAAATCGCAACCAGTTGTTTCCATGTTCTCCAGAGATTCCCTACGGAGGATCATCTAATGATTCATCGGCACAAGCATGAGATGACCCTCAAATTCCCCTCCATCAAAAATGACAACATGCTGTCAGGTGAGACAGACCTCACACACTCACACACTCACACACACACACACACGCAGCTCATGTGTGAGTGTCCGTTTAGCGTCTGTCTTTGATTAGGTGTATTAGGCAGAACGCACAACTTGGCAAATGCGTAGGTGTAGTTTTAAATTCAGAGCCATGTGGCTAAAATAATATTTGTGCTGTGCTCTGCCTCACTCCCCTAATCCCAGTCATCAACCCGTACCATGAGTTCCATATCAATTAGACCGCCGGCCCTCTCAGGGGACGAGGGGAAGGGGAACAGTGCAGGGAAGAAAAGAAAATAAACCTCAACAACTATTATGAAAAAGTGGAGGGTTGCATATTTAGAGGTGCATATTCAGAGATAGTACACTAGGTAACCAAAGCTGTGTACTTAGGCTTGGTTGAAAAAGGCAGCCTTTTTTGGTGTATCTGACATAAATATGTTTAATAGACATGTTTAACACATGAAATCCATGCAAACAAAACAAAAGCAAAAGCAAAGCAAAAAAACAACAACAACTAAATACAAAACACAACACAAAAAACACAACACAAAAAACACAACAAAACAAAACACAACACAAAAAACACAACAAAACAAAACAAAACACAACATAAAAGTGAAATAAAAAATAATAAAAGCTATACAGACATATTTAATAAAAGTCAAAACACAGCAAAATGACAAAAAATAGCTCAAATTACAGTGAAAACAGAAAATATAAAAATAAAACATTCAAAATATAAAGGAAACCTATAATAGTATCTTAATTATACTAAAACAACTGGTTTTGCTTGAGGATCCAGATTTTATAATGGTCACCCAATATAATAAACAATATTGGTTATCATACAAAGATTAAAAAAAAAAAAAGTAATCAAAATCATACTTTTAAATTGATTAATATTACCATGGACTGCAAAGGTTCGTCAACATGTGCAAATACTGATATGACAAATACACAAAATGACCAACAAAATAAATAAATAAATATATATATATACTGCAAAATACTGATTTTGATTGTTGTCACTGATTTGTTATCACCAACCAAAGATATAGTTATTGCTTTCCTGCCTTTTTAAAGGTATATTTATTTTTCTCTCCTCTGTTCTATAAATTATCTTTATTCTTTAAATTTGCATATAGCATATATTTTTTTTCCCTTCTTTCCGTAATCAGAACACACCTGCGGCCCATTTTCAGATCACAATCCACCTGTTTTGAACCGCTGCACAATTAGACTAGGCCTGTCACAATCTGTTTGAGCAGGCTGGTTCATGTGGACCATTTACAGATACAATATTCCTCTCAGGTGCTCTAAAACATCAATTAAGATAATGTAATTATGATAATGAGAAGGTATTTTCAATCAGAAAGGTATTATTGTAATCTGTTCAGACAGACAGTTTATGCCTAAGGCTCAGTCCTGTTGTATATGGTGGTAAGTATATCATTGCTTGATAAAGTCCCTAATTGTAAGAATCTGTTTTTCAAGAAAACAAAATGGAAAGAAAACAAGCCTCTGCTCTTTAATGTGTTTAGTGTGATTAAATCGCAACCAGTTGTTTCCATGTTCTCCAGAGATTCCCTACGGAGGATCATCTAATGATTCATCGGCACAAGCATGAGATGACCCTCAAATTCCCCTCCATCAAAAATGACAACATGCTGTCAGGTGAGACAGACCTCACACACTCACACACTCACACACACACGCAGCTCATGTGTGAGTGTCCGTTTAGCGTCTGTCTTTGATTAGGTGTATTAGGCAGAACGCACAACTTGGCAAATGCGTAGGTGTAGTTTTAAATTCAGAGCCATGTGGCTAAAATAATATTTGTGCTGTGCTCTGCCTCACTCCCCTAATCCCAGTCATCAACCCGTACCATGAGTTCCATATCAATTAGACCGCCGGCCCTCTCAGGGGACGAGGGGAAGGGGAACAGTGCAGGGAAGAAAAGAAAATAAACCTCAACAACTATTATGAAAAAGTGGAGGGTTGCATATTTAGAGGTGCATATTCAGAGATAGTACACTAGGTAACCAAAGCTGTGTACTTAGGCTTGGTTGAAAAAGGCAGCCTTTTTTGGTGTATCTGACATAAATATGTTTAATGGACATGTTTAACACATGAAATCCATGCAAACAAAACAAAAGCAAAAGCAAAGCAAAAAAAACAACAACAACTAAATACAAAACAAAACACAACACAAAAAACACAACACAAAAAACACAACAAAACAAAACACAACACAAAAAACACAACAAAACAAAACAAAACACAACACAAAAAACACAACAAAACAAAACACAACACAAAAAAACACAAAACAAAATTTTAAAATTTATTTGAAACATACATACATTGACTATCTATCTATCTATCTATCTATCTATCTATCTATCTATCTATCTATCTATCTATCTATCTATCTATCTATCTATCTATCTATCTATCTATCTATCTATCTATCTATCTATCTACTTAGTCATTTTGTATAAAACCTTTTATAAATGTATATAAATAAATCATATACACTTACATATTTAGATAGATTTTTTTGTCCACTTTTTTACAGACTCGATCCACTCTCGCATGTGGTTTGAAATCCAATTAAAATCAGATTTTTGAAAATGACTTTGTAAATGACTGCATGGTCAGATCAGATTTCATGTAAATTTTTGTCATTTGAGATACCTACTCTTGCCCCAAATTTTGAACCGTATGTCATTCACTTTATATTGTATTAAAAATAAGGAAACAATAAGGAGTTTCAGATTCAAATGAGCTAATTTATGAATATGTAAAATACAGTAATCACTAATGTTTTCTAATGTACCATAATGATCAAGAGCAAAAGAAAAATCTTCAGTTTCTGTCCTCTCTTTCCACTGTGAATGAAGAAGAAAGCAGAACTTGCAAAGTGATGATACAAGTCCTATAGATTATATGTTAAAAACTGATTTTTAAGGTGTGCCACTTGCTTTATTATATGTGACCCTGGACCACAAAACCTTAAGGGAGTCTTAAGTCGCTGGGGTATATTTGTAGCAATAGCCAAAAATACATCGTATGGGTCAAAATTATTGATTTTTTATTTATGCCAAATCATTAGGATATTAAGTAAAGATCATGTTCCATAAAGCTATTTTGTAAATTTCCTACCGTAAATATATAAAAACTTAATTTTTGATTAGTAATATGCATGGCTAAGTACTTCATTTGCACAACTTTAAAGGCGATTTTCTCAATATTTAGATTTTTTAGCAACTTCAGATTCCAGATTTTCAGATGTATCTCGGCCAAATATTGGTTATATATATCATAACAAACCATACATCGATGGAAAGCTTATTTATTCAACTTTGAGATAATTTATACTTTGTATAAATCTCAATTTCAAAAAAATTTACCCTTATGAGTGGTTTTGTGGTCTAGGGTCACATATAATTAATTGTATTATGAGTTATTGATAATTATAACCTTATGAAGCCATGAATAAAAAGACCTTGGCACATGCATTTTTAAACTTTTTTGGACATTCTCATTTTTCTCTAATTTGTTATCAATAATATGCAAGAGTATTTACATCTAAATATATCTATATAATTCATCCTCTTCTATCAAGATACTGTGCACGTCATGGATCAGGGATCCTGAAATCAAACTCTTGACAGGATTCTACGAGTCCTGGATGTGTGGTTCAGTCTAGACTGTAATATTCATCGTGGGGTTGATAAAGTACAAGATAATGAGTTACTATGTGGTTCCAGTAGCGGCTAGAAATTATCATCCCACCACAAACTCAAAAGAGGTGTGTGTGATTTTTCAATGGAGTGTGTTTGAGGGAAAGAGGCTCAGCAAACGAGAGGTAGTGAGTGAAGAAACACATGTGCACCTTCGAGTAACTGAAAGAAGGGCCTGCATGTAAAAGAATGCGAAGCGAGTGAGTATCTATCTATCTATCTATCTATCTATCTATCTATCTATCTATCTATCTATCTATCTATCTATCTACTTAGTCATTTTGTATAAAACCTTTTATAAATGTATATAAATAAATCATATACACTTACATATTTAGATAGATTTTTTTGTCCACTTTTTTACAGACTCGATCCACTCTCGCATGTGGTTTGAAATCCAATTAAAATCAGATTTTTGAAAATGACTTTGTAAATGACTGCATGGTCAGATCAGATTTCATGTAAATTTTTGTCATTTGAGATACCTACTCTTGCCCCAAATTTTGAACCGTATGTCATTCACTTTATATTGTATTAAAAATAAGGAAACAATAAGGAGTTTCAGATTCAAATGAGCTAATTTATGAATATGTAAAATACAGTAATCACTAATGTTTTCTAATGTACCATAATGATCAAGAGCAAAAGAAAAATCTTCAGTTTCTGTCCTCTCTTTCCACTGTGAATGAAGAAGAAAGCAGAACTTGCAAAGTGATGATACAAGTCCTATAGATTATATGTTAAAAACTGATTTTTAAGGTGTGCCACTTGCTTTATTATATGTGACCCTGGACCACAAAACCTTAAGGGAGTCTTAAGTCGCTGGGGTATATTTGTAGCAATAGCCAAAAATACATCGTATGGGTCAAAATTATTGATTTTTTATTTATGCCAAATCATTAGGATATTAAGTAAAGATCATGTTCCATAAAGCTATTTTGTAAATTTCCTACCGTAAATATATAAAAACTTAATTTTTGATTAGTAATATGCATGGCTAAGTACTTCATTTGCACAACTTTAAAGGCGATTTTCTCAATATTTAGATTTTTTAGCAACTTCAGATTCCAGATTTTCAGATGTATCTCGGCCAAATATTGGTTATATATATCATAACAAACCATACATCGATGGAAAGCTTATTTATTCAACTTTGAGATAATTTATACTTTGTATAAATCTCAATTTCAAAAAAATTTACCCTTATGAGTGGTTTTGTGGTCTAGGGTCACATATAATTAATTGTATTATGAGTTATTGATAATTATAACCTTATGAAGCCATGAATAAAAAGACCTTGGCACATGCATTTTTAAACTTTTTTGGACATTCTCATTTTTCTCTAATTTGTTATCAATAATATGCAAGAGTATTTACATCTAAATATATCTATATAATTCATCCTCTTCTATCAAGATACTGTGCACGTCATGGATCAGGGATCCTGAAATCAAACTCTTGACAGGATTCTACGAGTCCTGGATGTGTGGTTCAGTCTAGACTGTAATATTCATCGTGGGGTTGATAAAGTACAAGATAATGAGTTACTATGTGGTTCCAGTAGCGGCTAGAAATTATCATCCCACCACAAACTCAAAAGAGGTGTGTGTGATTTTTCAATGGAGTGTGTTTGAGGGAAAGAGGCTCAGCAAACGAGAGGTAGTGAGTGAAGAAACACATGTGCACCTTCGAGTAACTGAAAGAAGGGCCTGCATGTAAAAGAATGCGAAGCGAGTGAGAAACCCAAAGCTGATCCCAGAAATCTGATCTGCCACTCTGACAAGGGTAAATAATGAAAAGGACAGAATCACAGCCTGAGTGGAGAGAGACACAGCATAAAGCTAGAAATGCATTCTAGTGCCACGGACCACATGGTCCCACCAGAAGCTTTTATTTAGATGTTTGGGTTGGGTTCAATTTGCATAGGGAATTTACCGCAAACTTGTTTTGAACTTTTAACAAACTTGTGTGCAGAGATGCAGAGTTGTCGTCAGGAAGCCAACATTCAGAAGTTTGTTCATGCAGAGTTGACAATGACTGTAATAAATACAATTTTAAATTTGGGTAAAAATAGAATGTGATAGTTTTACTTTATTATTATCATAGTTGTACCATCCTGATATTTTTTCACTTCATGCCCTCAAAAATATTAAAATTAATTTAAATTCAGAAATTAAAAATGTGCATCATATAAGTGCATTTGTGCCACTGAATTTGTAAATATGTATTTCTGAATAAATTAATAGACATGTACCAAAATGGGGCGTTTTCCTTGATGATCAAACCCATTAGGCCTTCATTGTCACTGTAAACTATCTATCTATCTATCTATCTATCTATCTATCTATCTATCTATCTATCTATCTATCTATCTATCTATCTATCTATCTATCTATCTATCTATCTATCTATCTATCTACTTAGTCATTTTGTATAAAACCTTTTATAAATGTATATAAATAAATCATATACACTTACATATTTAGATAGATTTTTTTGTCCACTTTTTTACAGACTCGATCCACTCTCGCATGTGGTTTGAAATCCAATTAAAATCAGATTTTTGAAAATGACTTTGTAAATGACTGCATGGTCAGATCAGATTTCATGTAAATTTTTGTCATTTGAGATACCTACTCTTGCCCCAAATTTTGAACCGTATGTCATTCACTTTATATTGTATTAAAAATAAGGAAACAATAAGGAGTTTCAGATTCAAATGAGCTAATTTATGAATATGTAAAATACAGTAATCACTAATGTTTTCTAATGTACCATAATGATCAAGAGCAAAAGAAAAATCTTCAGTTTCTGTCCTCTCTTTCCACTGTGAATGAAGAAGAAAGCAGAACTTGCAAAGTGATGATACAAGTCCTATAGATTATATGTTAAAAACTGATTTTTAAGGTGTGCCACTTGCTTTATTATATGTGACCCTGGACCACAAAACCTTAAGGGAGTCTTAAGTCGCTGGGGTATATTTGTAGCAATAGCCAAAAATACATCGTATGGGTCAAAATTATTGATTTTTTATTTATGCCAAATCATTAGGATATTAAGTAAAGATCATGTTCCATAAAGCTATTTTGTAAATTTCCTACCGTAAATATATAAAAACTTAATTTTTGATTAGTAATATGCATGGCTAAGTACTTCATTTGCACAACTTTAAAGGCGATTTTCTCAATATTTAGATTTTTTAGCAACTTCAGATTCCAGATTTTCAGATGTATCTCGGCCAAATATTGGTTATATATATCATAACAAACCATACATCGATGGAAAGCTTATTTATTCAACTTTGAGATAATTTATACTTTGTATAAATCTCAATTTCAAAAAAATTTACCCTTATGAGTGGTTTTGTGGTCTAGGGTCACATATAATTAATTGTATTATGAGTTATTGATAATTATAACCTTATGAAGCCATGAATAAAAAGACCTTGGCACATGCATTTTTAAACTTTTTTGGACATTCTCATTTTTCTCTAATTTGTTATCAATAATATGCAAGAGTATTTACATCTAAATATATCTATATAATTCATCCTCTTCTATCAAGATACTGTGCACGTCATGGATCAGGGATCCTGAAATCAAACTCTTGACAGGATTCTACGAGTCCTGGATGTGTGGTTCAGTCTAGACTGTAATATTCATCGTGGGGTTGATAAAGTACAAGATAATGAGTTACTATGTGGTTCCAGTAGCGGCTAGAAATTATCATCCCACCACAAACTCAAAAGAGGTGTGTGTGATTTTTCAATGGAGTGTGTTTGAGGGAAAGAGGCTCAGCAAACGAGAGGTAGTGAGTGAAGAAACACATGTGCACCTTCGAGTAACTGAAAGAAGGGCCTGCATGTAAAAGAATGCGAAGCGAGTGAGAAACCCAAAGCTGATCCCAGAAATCTGATCTGCCACTCTGACAAGGGTAAATAATGAAAAAGACAGAATCACAGCCTGAGTGGAGAGAGACACAGCATAAAGCTAGAAATGCATTCTAGTGCCACGGACCACATGGTCCCACCAGAAGCTTTTATTTAGATGTTTGGGTTGGGTTCAATTTGCATAGGGAATTTACCGCAAACTTGTTTTGAACTTTTAACAAACTTGTGTGCAGAGATGCAGAGTTGTCGTCAGGAAGCCAACATTCAGAAGTTTGTTCATGCAGAGTTGACAATGACTGTAATAAATACAATTTTAAATTTGGGTAAAAATAGAATGTGATAGTTTTACTTTATTATTATCATAGTTGTACCATCCTGATATTTTTTCACTTCATGCCCTCAAAAATATTAAAATTAATTTAAATTCAGAAATTAAAAATGTGCATCATATAAGTGCATTTGTGCCACTGAATTTGTAAATATGTATTTCTGAATAAATTAATAGACATGTACCAAAATGGGGCGTTTTCCTTGATGATCAAACCCATTAGGCCTTCATTGTCACTGTAAACAGTTAAACTAACACACCCTGCTAAATTTTGACCAATTTCTTTCCCTCAATGTTTCTAGACCAGACACCCACCCCAACGCGCTTCTTGAAGAACTGTGAGGAAGTGGGTCTCTTCAGCGAGCTGGATTGCTCCATCGAACAGGAGTTTTGCCAGGCTCAGGAGGAGGAGGACAGCAAACAGGTGAGGTTATAGTGTGGGTCTCGCAGCTGTGATCCCCAATGCTGTCACTATTACCACATCCACCATAACAACGAGTCACTGAAGACTTTCAGCTTTGGACAGATCACACACATACACGACAGGCAGATGGAGGTTCAGCTGCTGAAGCAGGTAAAGATACACCCAGAGATCACATGTGGCAGCTGAGCTTCAAACTGATTGACAGTTGTGTTCATAAAGAGAGTTGTTTGTCTGGATATCAAATATCCACACACTTGAAATGTTGAACTACTTATACATGTGCACACATATGATGAGCCTTTGCCAAACCATTTACTGGGCAACAGGAGCAAATGTGGTCTTGTGTGTACAGCAAGCCAATCATGGCAAGTTATATGTGTGTATCTAAGAAGTTTTTTTTTCTTTTTAAAAGTCATATTTCAAAGTGATAAATAGGATGATCATTGTAAAGCCATGGTGATAACCAAACTCTTGCGGGTGTTTTCATCATGCATCGTCAAGGTCTGACAATGACGCATTCAGACACCTTCGACCCTAATGACTATTTTACCACTGGCACAACAACTGTGTCACAAGATGGCTGGGCTAAGTGACCACCACCCTACTGTCTGCCTGACAGCCACGCTGTAGATAAACTGATGGTGTCTGTTAATCTGGAGAGTTTATACTTGAGGTTTAGGGTTAGTACACCATGCCAAGTCAGCAAGCAGCAGGTTGTAGCAGGACTTTGCTGAGCTCAGGCGCAGACAGGTGAGAGGAAGATATCGCCCAAAGCCTTTTTAGAGAATTCTGCTGCGCTTGTCTTAAGTATACGGAAAACAAATGTGGAAGCCGAATCTCTTGTGTTTAAAGGATGTGTTTTTTAGGGCAGGTGGATGCTGTGTGTTTAAAAGGCTAAATAGCGTGTTATAATTTAATGCAAAATCTACTTCACAGTTCAGTTTAACCATGATGCGAAAATAGTGCCAGTCATTGTCTTTCCTTTTAGCGCAAACCTTTCTTTGTAAATTTAGCTCTTTATAGATTGCGTCGTATTAACAAAACTCGTATTTAAGGTCATCAGACAAGCAGTAAGCAGCAATTACTGAAAAGCCAGAAAGAGGTGAACGAAATTTCTGAAAGAGATGTTTGTTTACATTTTTGATTGATCATGGTTGCAGTTATTTGTGTAATGATGATCAAAAGCATTATAATTCATATCAGTAAAGTACATCAGATTGCAGTAGTCTGCTGTGTTCAGCACGGATTTTGTGGGTGCATCTAACCTGAATACCTGATTGTGCGGAATTCCTTTAGTGCACACTAGTACTACATAGACATTGCAAATAAACGACACTGTCAGAATCACTATTTATTCTTGGCAAATCTCTCCTCTTCAACAAAGTACTTGGTTTAAGTTGATGCAAATGAAGAAAACTACTGAAAGAATTCAGTAGATTTCTGTGCACTTGTTTATCTTCTAAACCATAACAGGCGCAACTTTAAATTGTGCCTTCAAGGTGTGGTCCTCAATGAGCAACAGAGTGTATTTTTAACCAACAAACCTCATTTTTCACACATCAAAAAAAGTATGGTGTGTGTCAAAGTGGCCTAAACCACAGAGGCTGCTATATATAACCAGGGCCATCCTTAGCTGACGCGGGGCCCGGTGCGAGGTAGGGAGCGGGACCACCTCGGTCTGTTCGCGATTGCGTTCCGGGGGGAGGTGAGTTGGTCCCCCTCGGTCCGTTTCGCTGCGGAGCCCGGTGCGACCGCACCAGTTGCACCCCCCTAAGGACGGCCCTGTATATAATGTTCAGTGAGTGCTTCATGCAATCTTTTCTAGTTTTAGCTCTACTTTCTTAAGGTGCAATCACATTTAACGCAGTTTAATGTATTTCCACATGCTAAATCCAGTCATTTCAATAGGACTCCACTCCTACTCCAGGTATGAAAAGCTGTGAAAAACCCCTGTGTTCTTATCTGTTTCTAAACAGAATATCACTCTTCATGGGCAGGGGGGCCCTAACCAGCACCAGCAGACCCACTCAAGAATGGCCAACCACGACGGCAGCATAGTGATCCAGCAGGCACTGCCTTCTCCTCAGTCCAGTTCTGTCATCACTCAAGCCCCTTCCACCAACAGACAGATTGGGTAAGTCGCCCCACTCATCATCACATGAACGTTGTCACTAGTACAACGTTCAATAGACGATGGCTAGTGTTATATTAGTCCAAGGTCCATGCCACTGTTTGCATTTCTCCTATCAAAATACAGCAGTTGACTTGCACAAGGTGGAGAAGTAGTGATTATGTTCTTCAAAAGACTGTGTTTGAGTCTAAGTTAGACTTTGTTTGTATGTCATGTGGACAGCAGTGAACAACAGCTGGATTCTTGGATTTGGAGTGTCTCTTCCTTAAAGGAACAGTTCGCCCAAAAATTAAAATTTGCAAGTTGTACATGATTTTGTTTCTTGACCAGAACAGATTTGGATTATGGAAATTATTGGAAACTTGTGGATTATTTTGATGTTTTTATCAGCTGTTTAGACTCTCATTCTGACGGCACCCATTCACTGCAGAAGATTCATTTGTGATTAAGTGATGTACTGTAATGCTTAATTTATCCAAATCTGTTCAGATAAAAAAACAAATGCACCTACATCTTGGAAGGTCAATTTTCAGCTGTTCGTTTCATAGCTCTTGCTCGCTGTGAAAGATTTGAAATGCTATGAAAGTTGTGTATGTGAAGGGATATGAAATAGTAATTGATCCCACATTCTAGGTTATCCAAAAAATAAAAATTCTGTCATCATTTACTCACCCTAACATTCAAAAGGGTGTTTTCATCATGCATCGTCAAGGTCTGACAATGACGCATTCAGACACCTTCGACCCTAATGACTATTTTACCACTGGCACAACAACTGTGTCACAAGATGGCTGGGCTAAGTGACCACCACCCTACTGTCTGCCTGACAGCCACGCTGTAGATAAACTGATGGTGTCTGTTAATCTGGAGAGTTTATACTTGAGGTTTAGGGTTAGTACACCATGCCAAGTCAGCAAGCAGCAGGTTGTAGCAGGACTTTGCTGAGCTCAGGCGCAGACAGGTGAGAGGAAGATATCGCCCAAAGCCTTTTTAGAGAATTCTGCTGCGCTTGTCTTAAGTATACGGAAAACAAATGTGGAAGCCGAATCTCTTGTGTTTAAAGGATGTGTTTTTTAGGGCAGGTGGATGCTGTGTGTTTAAAAGGCTAAATAGCGTGTTATAATTTAATGCAAAATCTACTTCACAGTTCAGTTTAACCATGATGCGAAAATAGTGCCAGTCATTGTCTTTCCTTTTAGCGCAAACCTTTCTTTGTAAATTTAGCTCTTTATAGATTGCGTCGTATTAACAAAACTCGTATTTAAGGTCATCAGACAAGCAGTAAGCAGCAATTACTGAAAAGCCAGAAAGAGGTGAACGAAATTTCTGAAAGAGATGTTTGTTTACATTTTTGATTGATCATGGTTGCAGTTATTTGTGTAATGATGATCAAAAGCATTATAATTCATATCAGTAAAGTACATCAGATTGCAGTAGTCTGCTGTGTTCAGCACGGATTTTGTGGGTGCATCTAACCTGAATACCTGATTGTGCGGAATTCCTTTAGTGCACACTAGTACTACATAGACATTGCAAATAAACGACACTGTCAGAATCACTATTTATTCTTGGCAAATCTCTCCTCTTCAACAAAGTACTTGGTTTAAGTTGATGCAAATGAAGAAAACTACTGAAAGAATTCAGTAGATTTCTGTGCACTTGTTTATCTTCTAAACCATAACAGGCGCAACTTTAAATTGTGCCTTCAAGGTGTGGTCCTCAATGAGCAACAGAGTGTATTTTTAACCAACAAACCTCATTTTTCACACATCAAAAAAAGTATGGTGTGTGTCAAAGTGGCCTAAACCACAGAGGCTGCTATATATAACCAGGGCCATCCTTAGCTGACGCGGGGCCCGGTGCGAGGTAGGGAGCGGGACCACCTCGGTCTGTTCGCGATTGCGTTCCGGGGGGAGGTGAGTTGGTCCCCCTCGGTCCGTTTCGCTGCGGAGCCCGGTGCGACCGCACCAGTTGCACCCCCCTAAGGACGGCCCTGTATATAATGTTCAGTGAGTGCTTCATGCAATCTTTTCTAGTTTTAGCTCTACTTTCTTAAGGTGCAATCACATTTAACGCAGTTTAATGTATTTCCACATGCTAAATCCAGTCATTTCAATAGGACTCCACTCCTACTCCAGGTATGAAAAGCTGTGAAAAACCCCTGTGTTCTTATCTGTTTCTAAACAGAATATCACTCTTCATGGGCAGGGGGGCCCTAACCAGCACCAGCAGACCCACTCAAGAATGGCCAACCACGACGGCAGCATAGTGATCCAGCAGGCACTGCCTTCTCCTCAGTCCAGTTCTGTCATCACTCAAGCCCCTTCCACCAACAGACAGATTGGGTAAGTCGCCCCACTCATCATCACATGAACGTTGTCACTAGTACAACGTTCAATAGACGATGGCTAGTGTTATATTAGTCCAAGGTCCATGCCACTGTTTGCATTTCTCCTATCAAAATACAGCAGTTGACTTGCACAAGGTGGAGAAGTAGTGATTATGTTCTTCAAAAGACTGTGTTTGAGTCTAAGTTAGACTTTGTTTGTATGTCATGTGGACAGCAGTGAACAACAGCTGGATTCTTGGATTTGGAGTGTCTCTTCCTTAAAGGAACAGTTCGCCCAAAAATTAAAATTTGCAAGTTGTACATGATTTTGTTTCTTGACCAGAACAGATTTGGATTATGGAAATTATTGGAAACTTGTGGATTATTTTGATGTTTTTATCAGCTGTTTAGACTCTCATTCTGACGGCACCCATTCACTGCAGAAGATTCATTTGTGATTAAGTGATGTACTGTAATGCTTAATTTATCCAAATCTGTTCAGATAAAAAAACAAATGCACCTACATCTTGGAAGGTCAATTTTCAGCTGTTCGTTTCATAGCTCTTGCTCGCTGTGAAAGATTTGAAATGCTATGAAAGTTGTGTATGTGAAGGGATATGAAATAGTAATTGATCCCACATTCTAGGTTATCCAAAAAATAAAAATTCTGTCATCATTTACTCACCCTAACATTCAAAACCTGTATGATTTTCAAAACAAAATTAGACCCTGAATCTAGATGGGGGTCAAACTAAAGATACAGTGGGGCAAAAAAGTATTAGTTGAGGTATACCTATGATGAAAATTACAGGCCTCTCTCATCTTTTTAAGTGGGAGAACTTGCACAATTGGTGGCTGACTAAATACTTTTTTTCCCCACTGTATGCGTTTGATGCAGTTTTGCATTTCACACATTCAGAGTTTCATATTCACACACCAACACTCTCACACACTTTTACCCAATTAAAAAAAGCACATTGCTGACAACAGAAGACAATTGCTTCTTAAAAGCGTTCATTGGAAACAAAACATCATTATTTAATGCTAAAACAATTACAGTAATCAGCCAAATGTCCTTGAAAGAGCACATTCTCACATTCCTGGGAAGATTGTAACACTCTTTGGATGTTCCGTGCTTTTCTCGTGTGTGTGTATGTGAATCTTTCCAGTTGTCCCTGTAGTGACTCTTAAAGTTCTCTGTGTCGTGTAGCCAGCTTGGGTGTGTCCCACAGTCATGACATCAGTGGTGCAGCTCTGGTGGGGATATCAGCTTTTTGGGATGACGCCCCTCTTGCGCAAACACATCCCACTGCTGACCCGTCTTTCTTTTTTCTCTAACAGTCTTTCTCTCTCTGTCTCTATGTTGCGTCAGAATGCGCCCTGTCTGCAGTATAATCACCACCTGAAACACATGATGGGCCGCAGGGAGAGGACGGTATCATTTTCAGCCGTGGTGGAGGTTTAGGATGAAGATTAGAGGGTCAGGTCTGCAGCTGACTCCAAAATCACCGATTTATTGTGTATAACAATAGATTTTCACAAACAAGATGTTTCATAATGAAACTGTCACTTAGCAAATTGATATACGGCTATCAGTCGCTAGTGTTTGGAGAAGCTTATATCTGAAAGCAGTCGACAATTAATAACACACTCTTTACTTCATGTTTGTGTATGTGTTTGATGATTTTTCTGAAGAAATACTGCACATCTCTATGCCAATGGTAAAACAGGACAGGGCGTAGATGCCCAGATTGGACAACTTGTGAATATTGGATGGAAGGCCTGTCAATCAAGTTGATTGATGGTCTGACAGTGCATTTGTTCTGGGAAAGGGATGGAATTACAGTCGAAGAAAGAGAGAGAGGATAAGAGACAGAGAGAGAGACTAATTAGTTCTCTTTTCTTTGCTGCATTAACTTTTTTTGACCTTAGTAGACAAATCTGTCAAGAAGTTATGAAAAATGCACTGATTTTTGATGCACTGATTATGAAGTTTTTTGGGGGGTTTTGCATACCATCTGCACAATACGTATGAAAGCTTTGTTAGAAGGGTTTCTGCAGGTTCAGGGGCAGTAATGCTGAACGCTGCTATGAATGCTCTGCTGTGTTTTAGATTGCAGCAGTAGAAATGGGAGGTGAATATAAATTCATGCAGAGCATATGCAATGCCCATGCTGTTTTTGTGTTGGAACGTTAGTGTGCATGTGCTAAAGCTGTAAAGAAACAGTTTATAGCACTCATTATGGATGTACACTCATGCAGCTCAGATATCATAAAGTCCTCAGCCTTTTATGGAAATTGTATATTTTTTTGAGAGAAGCTGTGTTAGTCTTACAGTAATTGGTCGATATCATGAAATCTGTCAAGAACTTGTAGGGGTCACATTTCAAACCCAAATCAAACAAAAGAAATACAAAATTACATTTGTACGAAAATTGTATTATATATCCAAACTATTTTTTTAAATGGCAATTTTATGTTTTTTCATAGCAATTAAGCAAATACATATTACTCCAGGTCTCATTATTCTATTGCAAAAATGGTAAATGTTTATTTAAATTAAATCATCTATCATTTTAGTATTTGTGTTATTTTAGTGGCATTGATATATATTATATTTTCTGTTAATATATTTTGAATTAGATTTTATTTTTATATTTTTGGTTAGTAATTTAGTGTTAGTAATTTGTTGTTTTTGCATTTGTATTAGTTTTTAAAAAAAAAAAATATTTAAATGCTTATATTTTTTAATTCATTGTATTCATTAGTTTTAGTTAGTTTATTTATTTTAGTTACTTAAAGTTACTTAAAGTTAAACTCAGCAAAAATTTGATTTTTTCAGTGAATGTTTCTTTTATTTCAAGTAACAAATTTTGTTTTTTATGGTTGTAGTTAACGAGTGGTTGTGTTGTATGACCTGGATATGAAGATTTATTTAATTTTAATTTTTGTCTTTTTGCTATACCTAAATCTTCATTGATGTCCATTGAAAACTGCAACTCTCTATGACTCCACAAGTGTGAGAGTGTTGTTTTGTTATGGGGACTGTGGAGGCCAGGGGTCAGCCTATGGAAGCGTGTAGCAGTGTGTTTGGAAATGTCCACCTCAGCGGGAAAAAAGGCTTTCAATCCCCTTAACACAGAAACTCCACTTCCCGCAGGAAGCCATCGAGGCCAGTTAGTGCCTCTGTCCACAAACTGTCTAATCTTCTCTTCCTGCTGCTCTGAACTGGAGAATCATGCCATGATTGAACTAAAAAGTTTTGCAGTATTGACGTACATAATTTAGAAATACTTTGCTGTTGTGAAATGTTCATGTCTAAATATTACACTATCCCTAGAAAAGAGGGGTGAATCATAAATTTGGCATAAAAATAAAATAAAACGTGGTGTATCGGATGGCAGGCTTACATCAGAGTAGCCGGAATGTTACTATTTCAATGGCAAACTGACATCAGCTATATATATATATATATATGAATGACTCTGTTCCGTCAATGAGAGAACATCTGAGAAGACTCACTATTTAGGGGCTATTGAACCTTGTACAATGTTCATTCGGCTACAACACAATCCACTCTAATTCTATAGCCTATGTGTTTCATTGTTGGCAGATTTGTCAGTAGTGCGTACTAAGCTCGTCTGCTTTCACAATAAGAATATATTGTTCCTGTTTTTGAGAGAAATCTGCTTAAATTATCAGAAATAGAATGAGTAATATTGACACACGCACTTCGGCAACAGAACTTACAGCACTTACTCACATCTTCCAGACACAACAGGTTCCCACATGAAATTATATAAAATGAAAAATAAAATAATGAGATCAAATAAATAGAAAATAACAGTAAATTATAAAATTTACAACTACAAAACCAGATTTTTTTTTCTGCACCCCTCTCTCTATAAAATGTAATTACCTGTACAGTGATTGTGAATGACTGCTGTAAGCTTAATCCAGGGTCCATCTGCTTTCTGTGCTTTTGTGGATGTGAAGATTGACAGAGTTATACAGCGTCCATTGAATTAGGATAACAAGTCATTTTCATTGCTCCGCCATGTTTACTGAAGAGATTTGGAGGCTTGGAATCAATTAAGATTGGCTTTCCTCAAGTCTGCCTGCTTAACATGGCTCAGGCGGGGGGCCCACAGCTGTGAAACACAAGGACCCTCAACCCCCAACTTTTCCTGTGATTCTCCAAGCGTTCCTCTGGGTTTTTCCCTTTTATTCACACCAGCCCTGAAAAAGGCCGGCATATGTTATATTTTGGATGCTGGTCTCTAGCACGGGATGCTAATATACTGTAGGTATTGTTTAAAATTTACATTTATAACCACCCTTATGTCTGCCAAACTTGCTTGACTTACTTTCTTCTGTGAACATAAAGATATTTTGAAGAATGTTCCAGTTGTATTTTTGGACCCCATTGACTCTCATTGTATCTTGCATGGCTGCAGTATGATGGTTCACAAGGTAGACAGACAAGCAGCAAAAACCTGCACTAACCACCATAAACCTGGTCTTTTCCGAAGGGAATACAGTCCCTCAGAGGTAGAGGCAGTTTGACAAAAAACTGTTTAAAGACCCTTCTGGACTAACAGAAAAAAGGAAAAGACAGACCACAGGGAATCTGAATGTCATGGCTATTCAAAGGGTCCAAATGATTTGAATGCTCGCTGCATGTGAATTACTAACATATGTTCCTGAGTCATGTCAGTGTTAAATATGTTAGACATAGTCAGTCGGCTTGAGATAAAACATTGTGAGGGAGCTCAACCTCTTTGACCAGGGGTTGGAGAACATACTGGTAACAGCGCATACTAAATGTAACTAGTGTCTGAATTGTAGCCGTACTGAAGGAGAGATGGATATGGGAGGACAAGTTCAGCAACAATAGCTCTTTTCTTCTGGAGCTGTGGTGATTGACACACATTTGTAGTTGAAACGCTCTTGCGACAGACAATAATAGATACAAAAATGGATGGCAAGGCAAACTGTCGTTGGTGCCATATAAAC